GTTGGTCGAACAGGTGGATCTCTGGGATATTGGTCGAAGCGATATGGTCGTTGTCCATTGTTGAAACCAGTGGCTCAGCGAAGGCATAGTCAGCCGCCGCAGTGGCTCGGAACGTTCCCGGGCCTACAATGCGCGAGATGATAGCGCATTTGAAAGAACCACGTCCGCACCAAAAATTACGCTATTATCGATTCAACAATATTTGCCTACTCACAGGGATCCCAGGATTTTTAGGGATACAATTCGCAAAAGACTAGGTTACGCTGGGATCAGATTTTAACGTCCATTAAGATATTTTCCATTGACACTCCACCATAAGCAGTGCAGTGTCGTCTTGCATGGTGCCTCTCTCGCTCAAGCTAGACCGTATTGGATTGGAGAATTGTGACCTTCAGCGACGAATCGCGTTTTTCTCTCAATGCTGATGATCGCCAAATACGGGCCTGGAGAAGAAGAGGTGAGCGGTCCAATGTACCATTTGTTACCGATCGACACAGGGTATCAGTCTGGGGAGCGATCAGCTGAGATAGCCATTCAACATTAGTCGTGCTGCGAGGTACTCTTGACTGCTCGCAGGTACGTTGACAACAATTGGCAGCCGATCGAATTTGGCACGTTTTTAGGACGTGTGTCTGGTTTGAATCCTATCAAAAGTTCGTTCATTTTCGTTTGAAATTTTTCTTCCAAGCCTTTTGCGATTTTTGATATCGTATTCTCCAGGGCGGAAGTATAATTCTGTACTGAGTTCATGGATAAGACTTTGATATGTTGTTGACAGTCCTGCTTGATGAAATAAGATCCGTAATTCGTTTGAGATATCACTGAGTAGCAGCTTTCTTTCTGTAGAATTTGATATAGTACTGAGGTGACACGTCTATTGTTTCCTCACTTAAGTTCTCAAAACTAAATTGTTCCCCATTATCTTGGACAGCTTAAGGTTTGTATTTGTTTCTCTCGCAGTATCAACCCGCGGAAAAGTGAAATTCAAGTTGTTTGTGTCAATAGCTTTGCCATGTCCAAAAGAGCCAGCCATCAGTCCGATTCAATCGTCAACGAAGGTGGAATAAACTATAACACCCCACTAAAGTTAGCTCCCAGCCGAGAGAACTTTCTGCGAATCTGACTATAGGATAAGAATAAAAAAAAAAAAAAAAAAATCTACCATAAGGATCTTATCGAAGATGTTTGACCACCTCTGCTCTATTCTTTCATCAACAAAGCAAAAACTATTTCTCAATAAGACACAGCAGCGTTCCAATAACCTTACGGTTAAGATCATACTACTAATTTTAAACTATGCAGTAAGACATTAAATTATAAAACGTTCTGCTCTGAACAAATATTATGACAGGAACCAAAAAAGATAGGATAAGATTTAACTTTTTAAGTGTTAGGAAAGGTTAAAATAAATCCTCATGTTGTTTCTTCAGGATCAATTCCTAGATAAAAGCTTTAAGGCAAAAAAGAAAAAGAAATATTCCAAATTAGATAGGGTGGGGAAGAAAGAAAGGAAAGAAAAGAAACACTCTTTTTAAAACCTCCCCCTCTCCTTTGTCAAGGCAGTATTAAAATATTATAACTATTCAACTAGTTCCTTTATTAAAATGTGATTTAAGTCATTGGGCTTCTCTAAAATTGTTCCGAGCTATTCCAAAATTATTTACCAATACAGTCGGCTGCAACAAACACATCTGAACTGCAATTATTTTCATCGTATTCATCAACATTTATCGTTCAAATTAAAGTGCAGCTTTTGTTACTGAGTTGTAAACAAAAGTTACTTTTGCAACTTTGTTTTGTTTATGAGGAAAGAGAGTATCTTTACTAGTCTGAGTTATGATCTCCTCTTTTTAAATAAAATTTTTCCACTACAGGGAAATTTAGAAACACATTACCAATGAACTAATAAAGAAATAAAATCGTTATCTTTACTATTAAATAATGAAGAATCTGCACGTATGTATGTCGGCATGTTCTTTACATTGTGGAAAAACGACAGCAACCAGAGTCACCAAATTTTGAATACTCATACTTCTCCACCTAAAGATGTGAACCTCGAAGCCCGAATTTAAATTTTTTCCCTTATTTCATATTTGTATAAATTTAATGAATTTTTGATTACCAAACTTAGGGATTTGAAAGCAAGCAGTCGGATATCTGTTCGGGGGGGGGACTACTACTTTCTTTGGAGGGAGAGAAAGCAGGTATAATTTCTCGAATTTTTTTTTATCTTTTACTTAAATGTACTATATAGATTATGAAACTGAGATTGAATTTATTTTGTCAGATAATTGATAATTTATAACATACCTTCATAGCTCAGTCTTATGGGAATTGGCAGTACATACGAGCTCTGTTCATATGCAGTTAGAAATATCCTTCAGACGTCTCAGAATTATTTTGTTCCTATAAACCTTTGCAAGCGATTGACATCCTTTAGATTTGGGAATAGTTTGATCATTTGAAATGAAGTATTTAAAAAAAAAAAAAGCTTTTTGAAAGCTTTCAGATTTTACTAATTACGCCCAAAGAGGCGTTTTCGGTGTTACCTTTATTTATTGAAAATCATGTTCTTCGCACTTAATAAAATTCAATTCAAAAGCAATATCCCAAAATAATTTTTAAAATGAACATATCTTCAGAATTTCCGATACACAGTCTTGCGGGCTGGAGTTTTTTTTTTTTGTACAGTATTGCCATTGCGTGATTTGAAATCGTTGAGTTTCTTAATCAAAAATTCGTTAAAGCGTTACAAAATATGCAATCGATTACAAAATAAATATTCCAAATTCGGGCTTCCAGATGCCCATTTTCGGTGGAGGATTACGTTACTCAAAAATTAATGGCTCTACGTTCCGTTGTTTTATCCCAATGCGAGAAACATACATCCATTAATGCAGATTCTTCATTATTTAATTTCTTTAACTGCAACACAGGGCGATAATATTTGATGGCAACAGTTTGAAATGTGATACGGACATTTACAATGAATCGATGCAAAATGCCAAAACGAAATTAATAACCCTTCTGAGCTAACGTTCCTTTGGGCTAAAAACTATTAAATAAATGAGACAAAATTTCAAATTAACATTTAAATTCAAGGCCGCCCAGACGGTATAGTGGCTAGAGAAGCCTGACTGCGTTACTGAAAGGCCCGGCTTCGAATCCCGGAGAAGGCAGTGGATGTAAAAATTGTCTGTCCCTTCATAGGACACAAAGGTGGCCGACCTATTAGGTGCTTCCATAATAAAGAGGCCACCACATCTGGCCTTAGGAGTGGCCGATGCCGGCATAGCCAAATGCCCGCCATTAGGGGGGGATATTTAAACTCAATATTCTTAAAACAATGAGTTTTATGAGAGATTCATGGAATAAATTGACAGTAAATATTATTAAGAGTTAATTTTAAAAAGTTAAATTTTTATTGCAAAATTGATCAAATCCAAATACTTGCTGTCACAAACTCCCCTGAACAACATATTACCGAAGGGTGAAATGAAATTTCATACGCGTACCAATTTTTAGATTACATATTTGTTAAAGCTGATTAATTAACTTAATTAAGATACTGATTAATCAATTAAACTTAGCTGGTTAATCAATTAAGATAAAATAAGATGATGAAGAAAAAGTAGTGGATTCTATTATAAGAATAAGCGGGAAAGATAACAAACACAGTTGGTGCGTATTTTCTTCCAAGCACTTGCACAAAATTTTTTAATGAAATGTGACATACAAATGGAATATTAAATGCTTTCCAAAAAATTCGTACAGAAATTCGAAAAGCGAAATCTCCAGGCCAGATGTGTAATAAATGCAGAATCATATATTCTTCTATAAGACTTCTGACTTAAAAATAACCTACTGCTTAAAATAAAAAGGGGGAAAAACTGACAGCTTTCAGATTTTATATTGCGCCCAAATGGTCGTTTTTTTCATTTACACATACGTACACGTTTCAAGAGCTAAAAATATTTAAAAACACCATATCTTTAGAATTCCGGGTACACAATTCTAGTGCGCTGGAGATAAAAATGTTTTTTTCCATGCATCGTTGCCACTGCTCGCTTTGAAATCGCTGAGTTTGTTAATTAAAAATTCGTTAGTTTTACAATATATGAAATAGACTTTAAAACAAATTCGAGCTTCCAGGAGCCCTTATCCGGGTGGATTACTACGTTATTAAAAAAATTCACGGCTCTAGACACCATTGTGTTTTCACAATGCGAGAAACATGCATACATCATGCATATTCTTTAACTATAATACAAGGCGATAATATTTGGTGACAACAATTTAAATGTGAAACGGACATTTATAATGAACTGACGCAAAATGCCATTTCCAGCCATTTGGGCTAAAATTACCATCGTTATACTTCGTATATAGAATATCCCTTATTTGTAAAATAATGAAATGAAAATTCATAGTCTATTAAAGTATTCCGATTTCTCCCGTTAGAATCATGGAACTGACTGTGTTTGAAAAATATTGGAGTTAGGTTACAGGATTACTTGTTCCACCCACGATTTCATATGATTTCGGTGTTCTGTAGATGATGCTCAGTATGTTTTTTTCTTTAGTCCATCCTTAGAACCATGGACGAAGGAAAACAGGAGCCCCTAACCGGCTCTCTAGTTCAATGGCTTGACCAACTTCTAGCCAGTGGTCACCCAACTTATGGAGCTTCTGAGCTACTGTGCCATTTTTAAATCCTACTGTGAGCTACCAACCAGAAAAATTGCCAATAATAATAATAAATAAATAAATAAATAAATAAATAAATAAAAAAAAAAAAAACACCTTACATTTGTTTACTGCCTATAAACTTGCATTTCTAGTAAACATCAAATCAGTTTTAATTAAACTGTATATAACCAAAAGAAACTGATATTGAATTGCACTAAGAAGATATTAATGGTGATAATTAACAAGGCTGAAAACAACATTTATTAAGCTTTAAATTCAATTACATATTTTATATCGTTTTGTATTTTCAGATTGAAACAGCATGGCTCAAGAAACACCTATAGAATATCAAATTATCAGAGGCCTACCTTTTCCTACTGGACTGATGTGGAAAAAGGAAAATATAGAGCAGGCTTTAGATTACTGTCCTCGTGATGGTGATATTATAATTGCGTCATATCCGAAAACTGGAACGACATGGTTGCAATACACAGTTTTACAAATAATTTCAAAAGGAGAGCTGTTTCCAAGCATGCAAGAGCTTGATCGAGTTTGTCCTTTTATGGAAATTGCGGGCGTGGCTGCCGTGCAGTCTTTACAGGAACTAAGAAGTTATAAACACCATTTCCCATACAACATGGTAAAGAAGAACCCCAAGGCGAAGTATCTTTACATATATCGCAATCCGGAGGATACAGTGACATCTTACTTCCATTTTCTGAAAAATCGCGGCAGTTATAAATGTGACTTTCAAGATTTCTTTGAGAGATTCATCCGGGGTGAACAAGCTTATGGGTGTTATTTTGATCATGTATTATCTTATTTTGCAGCGAAGGAAGACAAAAATATCCTACTAGTTTCTTATGAAAAACTGCAAGCTAATAGAAAAGCAGGTATTTTAGAAATTGCAAAATTTCTTGGGGAGAATTATTACAAATCAATGATAGCAGACAATTCTGTTTTGGAGAAGGTTCTCGAAAAAACCAGTTTTGATTATATGAAAAACCACCTCCGAATGATATTACCAGCACAAGAGAATGACAGAGATAAACCACAAGAGATTACATTTTTCCGTAAAGGAGTCGTGGGCGATGGGAAAGATTTTCTCACAAATGAGCAAAAACAACGTTTAAGAGCACTTATGTTAAGCAAAGTGCAAGATCGTGATTTGCTGGCAGAATGGTCATCTCGATAAATCATTACATTAAATTACTAGAAACTCAGATGGAGTCAATCTTCCGATATTTAATTATTCTAAGACATGACTATTTCAAAATAGTCAATCTATTTGTAAGTATGACTGTAACTTCTTTTTTCTTTATTCACTGACTAAAAATAGCAGGTTCGGTTTTACAGTTCCTCGATCTTCAGACATTAGTAAAAAAACTCAGGCAATAAGTTTATCTAATTTGCATGCAATTGAAAAATGACATTCTCTGTTCTAAGTAATTAAAATCAACAGACAAGGGAAATTTTTATTCTCGTCAAAAAAACTAAAGCAAGCAAAAAATCGAATTCATTTAAGCAAACACAAATCTAGCAATAAATATCAATCACGTGGATTAAACGGAAGAATACAAAAACGCTTCCAAATTTTGTCTAATATTCAATAGATCTGTTAATAACTATACGCAAATATTATAAGTGGTGAATATTAAGTTGTGGCATATTCTTGCTAAATTATTCTGAATAGCTAAATAATGTAATGTATCAGAAGATCTGGAACTGGATGAAAATCCTTATTAGCTAAGAAAGAAAGAACATACTAATGCCAAAACACATATCTAAAATTCTAGATAATCAAATTAATTTTTCAAGTGTTGAATTTTAATAAGAATATCAGTAAGAAGTGATCATCATATAGCAAACTTCCACAAAAACAAACTTTTCTGAGCAGAAACTGTTGTTGATTTTGTAATAAAATTTTCAATATAAATAATTAAATCTGGATTGAAAGCTTCTCAGCTCATTAATGGATAAGTCTTATATATGATAATAAATGTTCAAATACTATGAAGATATTTAAATATTTTATTAGTTATTGATCTTCTGCTTTATAATGTTCTTGGTCTCTTTTTATTACATATTTTCACAACACTAAAAAAATAATAATGTAAATGCACCCAAACAGAGAGGTGGTTAGTGATTCTGCCATACCGAAGAGCCTGGGTTCGAATCCCGGAAAAGCTATGGATGCAATTTGTCCACCCTTCATAGGAGGCAATGTGGTTCACCTATTAGATGTCTCCATGATAAAGAGACCACCGTTTCCAGCATTAGTATCACCCAATGCCTCTAAATAACTGCAGCCTGCTATTGGAAATAATACTGCAAATAATCACAAATTTAAAAGCAGGAAAGTGTAAGTGATCATCAGTTATTTGAACCACAACATTTTTTAAGGATAAACATTGAACATAGCATGTTAAAGGATATGTGACTATAAAATTAACAATTATTATTTTAAAACACATGGGAACATAAAAAAGAAACATTGTCCAGGTGTGAGATGCAAAAACAAAATTTTATTCCAGGGAACTTACGATTAATTGAATGATAACATTGATAAAATTCTTCATAATGATAAAAAAAATTAAACAACAATTGAAGCATTTTAATTTTAAGAGAAAAATGACTGATGATTTGATTTTGCCTTTTGAGTATTTTCCAATTACATACCTTTTGTTAATCTGAATGACGATAACAGATTGAAAGCCCGGATGAAGGTAGTATGCAAAATATTTCTTTCAGCAGTGTTTACTAATTTTTGAAAAATTTTGTTAACTAGTCAAAATTTTAAAAACAATGCAAATACATTTTTTATGATATCAGTTATAAAAAAACATCTGATGGAAGGGTTTGTAGTAATATGTCACTTTTTGTGTACGTAAAGAGCTCAATTAGATTCTGAGTTATGCAAATTAAAACTTCACAAATTATCTATCGAAAAGTGTTAAGCTAACTCTTTTTGAAAAATTAATGTGAAACTCACCCAATTTTCAACCTATTTCTCAAGTAGCATCAATATCCCTGTATCTTCCAGAATAGTATCATATATTTGAGAAATGTTAACACCTATTCTGACATCACAGCCAATAATGGTAAAAGTGTGCTTCGAAAATCAAGAAGAATCAAATTATCTTCCAATAACATAGTACCTTGCAGACCTTTTTAGTTTTAAAATTCCATATCACCTTGCGATCATCTATAAATCAAGTTGATTTTTGTATCTACATTAAAGGATTATATGTATATCTTTTAAATTAAGCAAGCTAAATCCAATTGCTGGTAGTTAATAATACTGACTAAACTGCACTTATAATTACCCTGAAATTGAGCCCACATTTATTATTGATTTGCAATTCTAGGGAAAAGTTTATGTAAACAAACATAAGTTAATAGCTGTATTAATTAACCTGCAGAATACCTCAGCATAAAATCTAGAATTACAGCACAGTTACAAAAAATTTCATAGCTTTTTTATACGTCATTTTTAAGCTCTAAAATACAAAATAAGTTTGTCATAAAATATACTTGTAAAATCTGTAAAACAGCACACTGCTCAGTGCTAAAATATGATTTACTGCATGTCCAACTAAAATTCTCTACTGTTATTGAATAAAACTTTATGTATTTAATTGAAGAAAATAAATTAAATCTCCTTATATCACAATTGAATTGTCCATTTATTTGAACACTATCCACTGAAGTAAAATAACAATGACTAACCTTTGTTTAATCTTTGTTTTTATTTTTATTTATTTTTTACCCTTTCTTTCATAAGAAACCTAAGGCAGCTTTTCTTCCCTGCGGTTTCAGTACCAAGCCTCTATTTGCTATTTAAAAAGCTTGGGAAATTAAATGGAGCCTCATCACAATATGTTTTTCAAGAAATCGTGTCCAATTCTAAAGGCTAATAATTGGCTGATCAAAACATAAACTAGAAATATGACTTGTGATAAACATATTTCCCCCCCCTCTTTTCTGTGGAATGTTCAGCTGCGAATTTTTAAGTAATTTATTATGAGATATATGTTATAATATTAGAACATATCTATTTCTTATTTTCAAAATACTTTTTGTTAGGTGAAGAAACATGAACTTTAAGATATCTGCAGACTCATACTGCTGTTCATATTCTTCTTCTTTCATGATATAGTCATGATACAGTTACGTCTCCATTTATTATATTCTATTACTTTATAATGCAGGAGAATGGCCATCAATCATAAAGCTCCACCTTTTCAATAAAATGTCTAAACTGACAACTTCTGAAACACATTTGATAAGTTCATTCTTAAAGTACCTGGCAGCCAGGTATTCACAATAAAAAATGCAATGAATTGGCATAAATTCTACATACCTAGATAATTTTCAGTAAGTGTTAATGATGCTTTATCTCCCATCATAAGCACACATATATGCAAAGCTCCATCTGTTGCAACATTAACTATGTAATATCACAATATATTAAGAATCTACCACATACATTTTTAATATCAATACAAGTTTTCTGGTTTAAGTCCAACATCCTTCCCTTTACATAGAAGAAATAATATAACATGAATTAGAAAAAATAATATAAAATATCAATAGTTGCCTTGCATGAGAACATACTTGTCAAGAAAGTGAATACAAGGAGCTTCTTAAAAGCATCTTTCACTTTTCTGAAAAGTCAGAACATATCTGAGAGATATAACTTTCTGTAAATTGGCATAATTTTAGTGTTCATGCTATCAATCATAGGATAGGTTATTTAATTACGGGAGGGATGCCTTCGTGGAGGGCTTTCTAAGGAAAACTGGCTCGTATACACGTTACACATGGAGAAAACCATGAAAACATCCATACAGCCAGCCCTTTCATGGGATTTGAACCTCAGACTGACCGCTGGTGGGCCATATATCAATCATAGGAGTTTTGTTTTTTTATATCTAATGTTGTAACTAGTTGGTTAGACTTTTCTTAACTAATTCACCATTAAAATATAGTATTAATACATTCCATGAAATATCAAATATGCCTATACAACTACTGATTATACATGCAGCCATGCATAATCCTTGCATTTTCAAAACTTAAAAATTGCTAATGATTTAAATTCTTTAACTGTTTACTTGAAAAGCACATTGCTTTATATTTTAGTCAAGCAAAATGTCATTTTGCATTCTTTAAATAAGGTTTGGAAATTTTTTATCTGCCCGTTCTCTTAATTATGGTAGCGAAATGTCCACACGTTACCTTCAGTCATATGTAATGCATCAAAGACCTGCATTCACTCATGAGCCATGATTTGACTACAACTGATCATTATATATATATGAATGATCTAAAGAAGTAATACTAAAAATCCGATCTAAAGAAGAGATATATGAGTTTTCAGCATCTTAGCAATAAAACTAAATTAATTAGAAAAAGATAAAAAATTAGCAACAAAAATAAATATAAATTATGTAAAAATAAATTTAAATTAACAATAATAAATAAAAAATAAATATAAATTATGTAACACTTAAAATTAATACCACAAATAGAAATTTACCAGTTATTAAATATTACAAGTTATTCCACTAAAAGAGTCATTTTGATACTTATGTATTATCCTGTCAAGCATGAAACTGTCACCAAGCAGCTCGATTTAGTGCCAATTAGGGATAAGCATGGCCTAATAACACAATCATAACATCTATGCTTTTGTTTGATGTAACCTCATCAGATTCTGGATAAGCCACATTTTGTTTTTATGAACAAGGATGTAGATTAACTGTTATTACTTTTTTCACCCCTTGGATTTTTTGGGGAAAAAAAAAAGATTAAATGTTGGGACCTGCCTTCTACAGAACAGTAAATAGTGGGTTATTTTTCAAAGTTATGGGATCCTCCAAGTATAAAAAAAGTGTGCTTGTGCTCATAAAGTTCTAAACAGAAATTTCATTAAAATGGAAGGGCCTAACAAAATAGCCAAAATCAAGAAAAGGGTATTTATGAAGCACAAAGTTAGTCAAATACAAATTGTTTTTTAAATAAAGAGGCATAAGTTCCTTCAGAATTTTCAGGAACGACTGGCACAAATTTTGTGAATTCTCCACCAATTTTCAGAGCTGATGTGATAATACATAAGTACCTTTTTTAAGGTCAATGAAAAAACATGACAAGAAAGCTTAAATATGTATGATAAACTAAAATATTTATGCTGTTTTGTTAGCATGTTTAGAATATATGTCATGTTGACATACATAACAGCTACCAAAATATGAGAAATAAAAAGCAGCATGTTAGATTTTGAAGGTATGAAATAATTAAAATGGAACACAAGGCCATAAAATTTAAAAAAAGAACTTCATTTTGAATCATTAGTTAATCAAGACAGTTTAAAACACTTTTCACTACCCACAATACTTTCACCATATCTAGATCCTTCAGGCTGTGCACACACAACAGCAAAAGGCTTCTTTCCATTGACATTCATATAACCTAAAATCATAGTTTTAGTAGTATGTGCCCATCCAAGCTCACAATATCCTTCATCAGAATATGACTTGAGAACCAGAACTCCAGCTAATTTTTGGCCAACTGTTCTTATATATGGTGAATCTAAAAACTTTTTCCTAAAAACATCTGGTAAAGCAGTTAGAGAATTAGCATTGTCACATAACATTTGACAACATTCTTTAGCAAATACAGTTTTAATTAGATATTCTCCTACACCAGTAGCACTGCAAGCTATACTGGGCTTCTCAGTAGATAAAGAATTTTCAGCCCAACAGCCAGATCCATAAACAGAAGCTTGACCTATTCTTCCGCAATGTTTCAGTAAGAGACCTCCACTTGATACAGCACTTGAAACATTTCCAAATGCATCTACACACACAGCTCCCACAGTATCTAATAAAGTACTTTCACCAAAAGACCTTTGTTCTAAAGTATCAGAAATAAAATTTGATTTTGGCTCTGAAGGGATCACTTTTTTTAACAGAGACTTGTTCTTCAAATATACTGCACGGGAAACTTCAGTTGAAAGCTGTTTTTGATCAATCTCACAAAAGCCATGTTCTTTTGCCCATTCCAAAGCACCACTTCCAACTAAAATACATGGTGGAATACGACCATGTGATAATAATCCTCTGTTTTGTTCTTCTAATACATTTTGGGCAACTTTTATAGGATTCTTTATGTTACACAAAGCACCAACAGAACCAAAGTTTAAACTTGCACCATCCATTATACCTGCATCACATTCAACACTTCCAGTTATAGAAAGGTTAGAACCAATACCAGCATTTGTTAGTGGACAGTCTTCAAGTACTGCAACAGCTGCACTAACAGCTTCTACTGCATTGCATTGGTCTTGAAGCAACTGAACTGCAACTTTGCATGCATTTTTACATGTTTTCTTATACAGTGGCCTTAGATTATCTGCATGGTATCCAGCACCAACATGGACAGCAACAAATCCAGACATTTAAATTTTCTGTGGTCTGAAACAATAAAATAAATAAATAAATATATCAAGATCAATTTTGCTATGAAGAAATATTTACAACTTTGGAAAATTATATTGGCACTAATTTAAAAAAAAAGCTCCGTGCATTTTTAAAAATAACATAACACTTCCAAGCACTAACAGTCTATGCAGTTTCCACAATAGATTTTTTTTAAATATAAGATAATTAAAAAGTTGGTTATCCCCCCTCCTAAAAACATTATTTTATTGATAGTTTGAATAAAAGAGAGAAATTAAACCTCTATGTATACTGGACTTTTCCTGTTAGTAACATCTTTCTCATGCAAAGTAACTTGCTGAATGCTAAGGAAAATGAATACAGAAACTCACATATTGAAAAGAGAAATGCTTTCATGATCCCAATCAAATTAAGTTAGTTTATCTGCAATTTGGAAAAAAAAAAAAAAAAAAAGAAGAAGACTTTTAAGTACAAGAATATGTATGTTAGTTGCTTTATATATAGTTTGGGATTTATCATCAATAATGACTTTCATAATGGAAAAGATTTTGCTGCTGGACTGAAAAACCCTCTGCTCTCAGTTATATGTTAGCCAGTTTTCATAACACAAGTTTCTAGCTTTGATTTCTACTGTTAGCACTCAGCGAGTATCTATATCAGAATGAAGCTATTAACAGGAAAGAGTTCATAATATGTAGTAATTTCTTTTTTTGTTCCAACTATCATTAAAAGAGTCATTTTTAAATTTTCAGATTAACTGTCTTTTTTATGACAAATATGCATGCAGAGTCACTTATTGAGGAAATTAAACACAATTAAAAGGTAGATGGGAATAATTTTCAATTAAGGCTTATTTTACTTCATAATACTTCTTTTTTGACTTTGTTCATCATATGTCATATGTCTATATAAATTTAAATCAATTTAAGAAAAGGTGCTATGTAAAATATAACATATAGTCTTTTTTAATAATGATGTTAATCTGAGGATTAAGGATTTAATCCCTCTCCTTAATTTTAAAGTTAATCTGAAAACAGCTGTTACATATATTAGTAAGGAAATACATTCAGTACTCATAGAATACTGTTCCGTCATATACATATCACTGCAGTAAGTTAATGCATAAAATAAATAGATACTATTTTTTTCCCCCACAAGGCATCATAAAAGAAAATAGCTTTTAATTATAGGCTGCAACAGAAAGTATTTCCTGATCGAGAAGGAGCACAGCTACAAACTATGAGGCAGTACAGTAGTGAGAAGTATACTGTTGTGTAGGGATTTATGTGTTGTTTTAATGTATGGTCAAGAGAGCATTATGCCTCTGAGATTGCATCCAAACCAAGGTCTTTCTGCTGCATCCTACATATTAATTAGATAGGAGCTACGTGGTCATACTCATATTTCTTCTCACTCTCCTACAGTTTACAGCATTTTACATGAGAGATGATTAGATTATATTAGATTAACTGGTTAAAGCAAAACTTACAGGGGTACTTGCCTAAGGGTAGAGACACCATCATGGAGAACTCTAAGGGAAATTGGCTCATATTTGTGTTTACATGGATATAGTCAAACAGCCAGTCAATCCATTTACAGTACAAAGTCTGTAATCCGGACGTCCATTATCCGGAATGATCTATAATCCCGACCTCAGAGCCACAAACTTTTTTTTTTGTATGCTTTACACATGCACGTAAAGAATGCGCGCTTGCGCATTACGCATTGAAAGAAATGTTTAATAAAGTAAACAAATAAATATTAAGCATTTTTTTTTGTAAAATTTGATATCCTTTAGATCATAATTGCTCTCTATTTCATAAATTACAGTTTCATATTTTTAATTGTATAATTTCTGCATGCTATCTTACAGATTTAAATTGATGATTTATAATCCAGAAAAACCCCTAATCCAGAATCGCCAAAGTCCCGAGGAGTCCAGACTTTGTACTGTATTGAAATCTGAATTGCATTAAACTATCAATATTTAGCAGTCAGCTACTTCAGGATGCTAATACTATTTTTTAAACTACATTTCAAATTGAGAATCTGATTGGAAAGCACCTTAGTTTAAAACACAGTAAAGCATAATGATACACAGACATCTAAATTTAAAAATGGATACTTTTTACACACAACCTGATGTACTAATGAAACCCATATACTTTTATGTTATAAATCTATGCATGCATATATGTTTAAATGCAATATATATTTATGGGTGCTCTTTTGTTATCAGGACCAGATACAGAAATATATATATGAATGGATGTAGAATGGATGTATTCATGTATACATGTATATAGGCACATACAAATGTATATGTGTGTACACATACATATATGCACAAACATACATACATGCATAAATTTCTGAATCCAGTCAACAATAACAGAAGAGTACCTGTTTATGTATACTTCAGTTTATGATACCTAGCTTTATAATAAATGCATTTTTATTTTCAATGATAATAATTATCTAATGCATTTTTATTTAAAAATTTATCACACATACTTTATAAAGGTATATTTATATTTTTAAGTACATTTTCCTATTTAATATAATAAATTTGTATTATAAAATATAATTGTTTTAACATGGTAAATTTCTTCTTACAAATCGAGTATGATAAATACCATGCTTTTAAAAAAATTAACTAATACAGCTTTCTACAGTAAATGGATTTTTTAGAATGTAATATATGACACCTAGTTACAAAATACACTTACAAGCCTTTCTTCAGCATATTCAGTTCCCTAAAGATTAATACAATTGTTTATTCTGCATAAATTAAATATATTAGTAATTTAAAGTTAAATAAATCTTTACTTAGTAGCTGCTCATGAAAATAACTTCAATGGCATCCTAGGGGACTGCTGATGTTGCCTATGCTTGCGGCCAATTGTGTATATTTTTTTTCAAAAATGAAGAAAAAGCATTTAGTGCAGCTGTTTAATTTCTAAACCTGAAATGTAAAGGTTCTCAATTTTACAAAATAAGAACTTTCAGAAACATCTAATATGAAAAAAATCCAAATGTGTTTTACATTACACTTTAGTTTCAAAATACAAAGCTTAATAAATTATTAAAGTATATCTGAATTACAACATAAACTTGTTGAAAAAATGATTCTGAAACATTCATTACACATAATGGTCAGATAATTTCCATTATCATATTTTTGTATTAATATAATAGTATACTTTGCAGAACAAAAATTCAAGATCTTTAAAACTTACCTTTGAGAAGCTAAATACTAATATTTATCCAGCTAAAAAGTTTGAGTGTGATCTTTAATGGATAAAGGACGAAAGATTAATTACTATCAATTTAAAAAACTTTCATATTCATTTAAAAAAAACCTAAATTATTATCAGCACTTCTTGGTCAACAACATGACAATTAACACTAAATGTAAACATTACAGCAAGACGGTTAGGAATGATAATCTTAGCGATATATAAAGCTTCATAAAATGAATACAAAAAATTAGGATGAATCCAAAAATTCACTAATATGAATGTATATAATTATTTTATTTCCCAGTTGTTTAGTGATTCATTCCCTCTTGCAGTTCAGAAAATTTACTCCAAGCTCCTGACATCAGAAGTACACAAACCAAATAGCTATCAGAAGAGAAATGAGCACAAATGTTCAAACCAGCATCCACTTTGCAAACTGTTCTTGTAGCACAATCTTTCGTTACATTGCTTCTATAGCAGCAAAATACAGTTTCATTTTGCTGTGTTCTGAATAAAGTATGGAGGATACTTTCCTAGGAAAAATTTAATCAACTGTATGTTTTATGTTAATTATACCGATTCTCTCTTTATTAAGCTGCATATGTGTTATGTATATCCAGCACTATCCAGCATTGAAAATGCAACACCAAAAAGGTGTTAGAAGAAAGTGATAATATTCGGCATACAGAGACAGGCAGCAATGAACAATAAATTATCTTTATATCGAAATGATATGCCTAATACAGAGTGAGAACAATATTGGCTCAGTAAGTTGCAGGACTACCTTGGACATCAATACACTATGGAACACATCAAGATGCAGAGTCCGTGAGACTACGAATGGTATCCTGATGATTGGCTCTTTATTCTGGGTCAACCCATTGCCACAGTTTCATCTTCTGAATGTGGCAATGGCAGGGTCTGTAAATGACGTCCAATCACATCTCAAATGTGTTCGATTGGCGAGAGATCAGAAAAGAGTAGTAGCCAGGGAAGCGTCTGTACACCTTGCAGAAAACATTAGCTGATGTGAGCAGTGTGTAATCGGATGTTATCCTGTTGATAAAGGAACTGGGCACTTCCGAAAGGTAGGGGAGTGTCATTGGCCACAGTACATCATCCACGTATCGTTGCACTGTCATAATGCTCTAAATGTGAAATACAGGTGACATGGAATCATGCGTAATTGCAACCCAAACCATGATACCACGTTGTCACGTAATGCGGTGTTCCGCAATAGCTGCAGGATTGGAACTGTCTCCACATCGATGTAGTTAAAAGAGCATGACTCTGTGCTATTCTGTCGCCCACATCGCTCAAGCCAGCACCATTGCAGAGGTTCACATCATTGCTGAGGTTCACACCATTGCAGAGGTTCACATCACTCGCATAACTCGGTGCCGTGCATCTTACCTGAAATTTACATAATTTTCGGGCCACTCCTTCTTGGTGTTGCATTTTCAATGTTGGGTGGTATGCGTGTGTTTATATATATATGTAAAATATAATAGAGTAGTAGTAGGTAGGAACATTGCAGCAACCTTGCTAAAATATAAATGTAAAATATGTAAAATATTTATGTCAAATATAAAATCTAGCTTTCAAATAATAAATTAATACTCCTTCTGTTTTCATTCTAAAAATAGCAGAGAAATTAATTTTTAATTAAACGAAAAAGATCCATCATCTAATTTGTACTGTGCACTTATTGATGAAGTCTGAGCTCAATACCTGTATATCAAATATCATGTGATCTGAAATGGAATCCGTATAAAAGCTTAATTATATCACAACTCTCTCTTCTTCTCTTCCATCTTTTCTCTTGCTTCCTGTTGCTGCTTTGCATTGCTGCTAACCTCATAGAGTTTACTTTACTAAATTTAAACAATTCTTTAAGAAATGTGAGCTGTAAAAATTGGGAGGTGCATAGCGCACGTGTGGTGATAATGTGCATTATCAAAAAATAAAATTGTGTGTGGAATTTACCATTATGTGGGTTCTTCGAGTGTCTTCTTTGTAACTACGCAGCAAAGTCTTCCAGTTATGATGCAGTCTTCTCCGATGCCAATCTGTTGCAACTCTCACCATGTCATCTTATTTCGATAATAACACAGTTTTATCACAACAATGGAGCAGTTTTATTACATCTAATGGAACAGTTTAACAGATTTATTACATATATCTATATATTTTCCCACTGATTTGTAGTATTTGGTACTTTAATGCAGAATAACTGAAAACTGTTAACTGAAAAGTGTTTTATATCTGTAAACTGGGTAAGTTTTGAAAACACAAAAAGGAAATTTTTATTAAAGAGAGTTTAAATGAAAAATAACTATTGCAACATATTTAATGTGATAAAAATATTTAAATATGTTATAAAAGTGCAAAACTGAAACCACCACTGACCTGCAGAATATTTCAGAAATCATAAGAAATGTAAAATTTATATAATTGATATGCAGAAGTCAATCTAGATAGTATGTAAAATATTACAGCAATATATAGAATTTAAAGTTATTTAAATTCATTAAAATTTGTTTTTACAGTTGCATTTAAGAACAGATAAAAAAGATATACATAATCTTCTAGACATCTTTACTTCTTCTGAGCACTTTATGTTTCATACAGAATGACTTAAAATAGGAAAATGAACAACTATAACCCACAGAACATCAAAGCATGGTCAACCTTTTTGCATCAATTGAAAATGCAAAATAGGACATAGAAAAAAAAAAAAAAAAGATACTTTCTGATTACTTTACCCCAGCCAAAACACCATAAAAAAATACTGAAGAGGCAATGTACCATTTTACCAAAAAGTATTTATGTAGCAATCCATGTATGTGTATATCATCTCTCCAAACAGCTATGGATATTTTTGCCATCTGTCTGCAGATCATCATCATTCATATGGAAATTTGAATGTGGTGATAAACTGTGTACGGCAGTTTCCGTTGTCTTCATTATTATCAGACTTAGCTTTCTGCATACATAGAACATAATGTAAGACTTCATTGGCCTATTTTTTCCCTTCTCACTTTAGGATTTTGCTGTCGATGTTGCACATGATGCCAGGTTTATGCAAATCTGATTTTAAGCAAACAAATCACTGTGTATACAGGTAAAATAACAGCAATAAATAAGTAAACAAAAGTATGCATGTCTCATATATAAAAATATAGGCAGCCTTGGATACATCACTGAAATAGTATCCAAATGTATGTTTCTCTCCAAAGTTGACAGTGAGTTTACGAATGCTCTCCAAAGTATCCAGAGAGTTCATGACTTTTCGGTGAAAACGCAGTTAACTAAGCAGTACAAAAAAAAAAAAAAAAAGTTTCAAGCTAGTATAGAAACAAATCAAAATTCACAATGAGCTGAAGGCTTAATGTTTTCACAAACAAAGTATACATCACATTATTAAACTACATAATTTTGGCCTTATTAGATCTAATAGTTAAAAGGCAATCTACACATCTAATAGTTTAAAGGTAGGCTTTTCTCAGAAATATTAATTAGCTTCTAATTCACAAACAGTAGAACAATATCATAAAATATTTAAATCGTCATATTTCCAGTGTGTCCTGTAAATAAAACCATTATTTTTATATACTCAATTCAAGCATAAAAAATTCACTCCAAACTTCAATCGAAAAGCGATACAAATAGTAGGTCAAAATTTAGGTAAGTCAGAACATTTAAATAATTTATTACTCATAAATATGTTCAATTTAAAATAATGTTATTTATTTAGCTCCTAATACAGTCAAAAGTCGTTAATTCGGACACCCATAATTCGGAATGATCTATAATCCGGACCTCAAAGCTACAAATTGTCTGCGCATGCGTCAAAACGAAGCATGCGCAGAAGACTTTTACGGCTGCGAATATTGGGGCGTAAAATACATTTACAAATGCGCGTTAAGCATAACGGACGGTTAAAGCTAAGCTAAAAGTACCTAATCATCAATGTTGTTGCGTTTGTTCCTTAATCTTTTGGATTCGCTATTATTTTTCAGACTGTTAAGCAATTTTATAAAAGTAACTTAACTTTGATATGTCAATAAATTCTGAATATATTATAATGTAAAGGATCCAAAAAAGTATGTTTCGAATCCATTAAACAAAAGTGAATTGCTGCAAAAAATGGATAAAGGCATATCCTTTTTATCTAAATTTAACGTTTGTTTGTCTAAACTTTGTTTTCTTAACGCAGCGGCGCGCATGAATTGGAAGTTGATCTGTCGCACTATCCTTATCTTCAGGGCAGATGTTTTTATTTTATTTGGCTTATATCCTTACTAAATGTAGTATTATCTCGATGTACTCCGGCTTTGATATGATTTAAATCAAAATTCCTAGTCTTTAATTCGCTTCCGATAGCGAAGAAAGTGACGAGGTTATTGAAAACGAAAAACATTCGATTGACAATTAGTGGTATTTCGACACAGGAGTTATAGGACTTGACAGCCGGAACTTTTAACTGAACAAGAAATTATGTCTGTTTATGAATTAAAAGAAGGTCTTATCACATAAAATCGAAGCCTTAAACAGCTTACATGAAAGACATTTTAATAAAGTAACAAATAAATATTAAGCATTTTTTTTTTGTAATTTTTGACCATTTAGATCTAATGTTCTTTATTTTATAAATTAGGTTTTCATATTTTTAATTTATAATTTCTGCATGCCATCTTACCAGATTTAAACTGATGATCTTAATCCGGAAAACGATAATCCGAATCGCCGAAGTCCCGACGAGTCTGGATTAACGACTTTTGACTGTATTATTTTTTAGTTGTTTGTTGAATAAATGCAAATATTTTTATATTATGGGATGACTTTGCCTTTTTTTTTTTTTTTTCTAATAAACAATGCTTTCATAAATAAATACAAATTATTCTTTACAACAGCATATTTTTCTTTCAAATTAAAACAATTCTAAGGTTAGTCTATATTTTAAGATGCCCTTTGGATTATCGCCAAGTTGCTGTTTCATTTATTGCCAAATGTTGCTTCATTTATGGTTCATTTATGGTTGAATATCATGGAAACCCTATTATGACGTGATTGCGGTGACTTTTGACTGATGGAAAACCAATTCTGATACATATGTAAAAGAACTGGAGGAAACTAGAAGAAAAATGTTACAATCTAAAATTTAGGTAAAAAAGACAACTTTTAGTCAAAATCTGCACCAAACTCAGCTTGCTTTTCTGCCTAATTTTAAAAACGTGAAAGAAAATTAAGATGTCAGTAGTCAGTATTACGCAAACCATTCCTCAGGACTTTCACAGCATAGTACTGAAACAATGTATAGTGGATTGATAAAATGAACAAGTGTTACATTTAGTATAAAGTATTTTATAAAAATACTTTGGAGTATTATTAAAAGAAGGAAAAAAAGCATTGCAAGTTTAGTACTCATAAATTAGACTATGTTAGGACACTAGGACGAATCAGTGCTTCCTGATTATCTATATATTTTCCCACTTATTTGTAGTATTTGGTACTTTAATGCAGAATAACTGAAAACTGTTAACTGAAAAGTGTTTTTATATCTGTAACTGGGTAAGTTCTGAAAATACAAAAAGGAAATTTTTATTAAAGAGAGTTTAAATGAAAAATAACTATTGCAACATATTTAATGTGATAAAAATATTTAAATATGTTATAAAAGTGCAAAACTGAAACCACCACTGACCTGCAGAATATTTCAGAAATCATAAGAAATGTAAAATTTATATAATTGATATGCAGAAGTCAATCTAGATAGTATGTAAAATGACGCACTGAAAAGTCATGAAGTTGTTGCCGACTTTTAACAACATCCATGAAGTTATTGCCAACTTTGGAGAGAAACAATTGTTTGGATGCTTTCATGTCTATATTTACGATGAATCCAGCACCACTTACTTTTTCTTTTTATCTTTTTTAATACAAAATATATAAACTTCTCAGTATTTTGCACTATTGTTCTCCCTATGTACACAACAACTTGTTTTCACTAAAAAAATTCAGCAATGCACACCAACTCAGCACAGAATGATAAACAGAAAAGAAAAGAAGAGGTGCATGATGCTTTTAAATGGGTACATTATCATCTAAGCATGCAGAAAGCTCAGTTGGAGATTTCACGAAAGGCAACGAAAATTGTTATACGTGATCCACTGCTAAGTAAAATACAGGAATTACCATAGGAGAGATTATAACCTGAAGTCACACAGGCAAAAATGTCTGGATAAATGGAAAGCCATACGGGAGGAAAGAATGCAAAAAATATACCTGAGTTGCCACATAAAGAACTTTGGTGGCATCATATAATTGTGTATTGTTACATAAATACTTTATGGGCAAATGGTGTATTATCTCATCAATACTTTTCCACAACTTTTTGGCAAAGGTGTGGATAATTAGAAAAGGTAATTATGTATTATCCTGTCAATCAATGGCTGAAATTTTGGCAATGGCCATCAAACTAGTACAGTCAAAAGTCGTTAATCCGGACTCGTCGGGACTTCGGCGATTCCGGATTATCGATCATCAGTTTAAATCTGGTAAAATGCATGCAGAAATTATAAATAAAATATGAAACCGTAATTACGAAGTAAGACAATTATGATCTAAAGGTATCAAAATTTACAAAAAAAAAAAAGCTTAATATTTATTTGTTTTACTTATTAAACATTTCTTTCAATGTAAGTTGCTTCGTTTTTTATGTGATAATACATTCTCTTTAATTCTATAAACAGACCTAATTTCGTGTTCAGTTACAAAGTTCCGCTGTTCAAGTCCTATAATTGCTGTGTCAAGAATACCGACTAATTTGTCAATCGAAACTTTTTTCGTTTTCAAAACCTTATTACTTTCTTCGCTATCCGAAGCGAATTATAAGACGAGGCATTTGATTTAAATCATATCAAAGCACATCGAGATGAATACTACATTGAGTAAGCTATAAGCAAATAAAATAAATTGCTCTTAAGATAAGGATATGCGGATCAACTTCCATTCATTGCACGCCGCCCGGGTGTTAAACAATGGTTTAGATAAACAAACGTTAAGTTTACATAAACAAACGTTAAGTTTACATAAACAAAGGATAATGCCTTTATCCATTTTTGTCAGCAAATTCTACTTTGTTTAATCGACTCCGAAAGATACTTTCGCTTTGTATACCTTTCCATTTTAGTAATATATACGGAAATTATTTGGACATAATCGAAAGTTCAAGCTTACTTTATAAAATTGCTCTAACAGTCTGCAAAAAATAATAACCGGATCCAATTCGAAGATTAAGGAACAAGCAATCGCAACATTAACGGAAATAGATAATTAGATATTTTAGCTTAGCTTTCCCGTCCGTTATACATTAACGCGCATTCGTAAACGTATTTTGCGCACGCGCACATGCAAATTCACAACGGTAAAGGTCTTACGTGCATGCGTGAAAGCGACGCATGCGCAGAAAGTTTGTAGCTTTGAGGTCCGGATTATGGGTGTCCGAATTAACGACTTTTGACTGTAATAGTTACTGCAAAATCCTAAAGAAGAAAACATCCATTAATTGGTGCTAAATCATACTACTTAGTTGACATGTTAATATGGATGGATAATATGTAAGAACCATAGAAAATACTGAAGAACATTTTGTCTATGCCATTTAAGTGATGCTGGTTTTCCTAATTGGAAGCAAAACTATTGTTTGAAAAAGTTACAAAAACACGTTTTCATGCTTATTAAGATTAAAAATAATTTAGCAAGTTTCAATAACCCTACACCTAAAGCACAACCCATTTTAATCAGTGTGATTACTTTCACATAAATTTCATTTTATGAATTTTGAGTCACAAATTCCAAAAAAATTCTGAAAACAAAAAAAAATTTCTGAAATTTTTTTTGATTACGTGCAAACCTTGATATTAAACACTTAATATCAACTTAAACACTTGACTTGATAAATCAAGCATAAATTAAAAATTTTTAGCACATTTCATAAAACTGTCAATTTTTTCTCCAATTTCATATTATTTATTTTCCCATTTCAGTTTTGTGGCTTCAAAAACTGGACCACAGTCATCCATAAAAAAACACTTGACATTCCAACGAATATTCAAACTCCTAGGAGAAAGTTGAAACATAAATTTTATTTTGCAAATTGTTGTCTAAATACACAACAAATGCACTGAATTTTAATAGGATAAAATGAGATATTGCTCAAATCTCTGCCATTCATTTTTTAAAACCCATAATTTACTTACGAGCATCCAGAAACAAGAAAACTTTTTACCACATAAATTTTTTGAGCATTGATGTGTTACATTTTCGGTTCCTTAACTCAAACTGATAAATTTTAATAAAACAATATCTATTACTTTTATGACAGTTCAATGGTAAATTTTGACAACACTTCATAAAAGTTTACGTATTTCGAGCACATGCCACTTTAAGGTAAAATTCTAAAATTCATTAATTTCTGAATTTAAACAGCTGTACACATTAGTCAAAAGCTTTACGTTGAATTACCGTGTACAGTAACATGTTTTAATGAAAGTAGCTAAATCTTTTTCCCTAAGTGGGGAAAAAATTTTAAATAAAATAATGCTCACATCAAATCGAGCTGTGACAAAGAACAATTGCACAAAATGAAAACAGAACATTCCAAACATATATGTAGTTTTGCAAAATTTTTATGCCTATTGAGGAAAAGTAAATAGACTGAGAGCAATAAGAGGAAACAGTGACAATATGGAATAATGAAGAATTTCCATGGTTTTTCATTTTATTGAATATCAAAAACGAAAAAAAAAAAAAATTCTGCTAATTGAATGGGTCATAAGAAAAAAATATTTATCAAAATGAATCGAAAATTATCTCCTCTTTATTATTTCATAATAAGAAAACTTTCCATGTACTATCTCCGGCATTTTTCATTGATACACCGTGAATAGCAACTCAACAAATGTAAACCAAGGAGCCTCCTTGATCGAACTATTATGTGTTTACATCAAAACCTCCTTCTATAGTTAGAATCTATTCTAATCAAGGAGATTCTAACCTCCTTGAGTTCGACCGCCTCATCCGCGACCAAGAGTGCAAACACGCCTGCGCCATTCGGACCGAATTATTCTCAAAATATGTTGAAAGGATGGGGATTTTCTTTCCCTCCAGCATAGCTCTTTTCGGAGAAAAGACCTTTCACGTCGCAGCAAGTAATACCGCCCTTTTGGACGAGTCTATGTGTTTTGGCAGAATGCCAACCAGGGTTGCGCTTGAGATGGTCGAACTATACCTATAACCTGTAATATAACATGTCTTCCTCCTTAGAACAGTGTACACACAGGGTACCTAGGACTGAGATCATACCTCCAATTGAATAGAGTTGTACTTTCCTAAAACAACTACAAAAACATAATAATAATCTTTTTCTAAAAGAATAAATTAGCAAAAATAATATGTTAGCTGAAATAAGGAATAAAATGAACTTCGAGAGTAAGAGTTGTAATAGTTGAACCAGAAAAACCAGAAAACTGGTGTGATTGCTGAAAACATGTAGCTATAATGAACCAGTGAGATGCGAGAACTTTGGTATTTTCAATTAAGGGGGTACGTGACAAGACTTACAATAAATTAAGGTACGGGTAAACTTACAATACTTAATCATATGAGTTGAAAGTAGATATGCACAGAAACTAAGTGAAATATGAGCGAGCATACACATTACAACAGAAATATACAAAATTACAGTCGTGTTTGAATAGATATTGGTCTGTAACAGTTCAGAGGGTCGTTGACATCGTCAGGGGAATAGCTAGAGGGGGACAAGGGGGACATCTGTTCCCGGGTGCAGCATCCAAGGGGCACCAAATTGATATTACGAAATTTTAGAATTAAATGTTTTCCATCCTTGGCAAGCAGTAGGGACGCGAAATCTTCAGTTGTCCCTGGGCCCTGAAAACCCTAGATACGACTCTGGACATCATAGTGAAAGATTTTGATAACAGGATTATCTGTCAGTGTTTGGATTTTCATAAAAGGTTTTGGTAAGCCGGTTCTTAGTAACCTGAATGAAAATGGTTCTTAGTAGTTTGACTTTCAGTTCCTGGTGAATTTTGTTGTTACATACGTACCATGGGGAATCCGTTATCTGTGCCGTTTGGAGTTTTTTTCTATTAGTACGACGAGAATAAGCCTATACAGGGCATGCATATAATAATATTGGACACAAGATGGATTATGGATTTGTAAATGAGTAGCTTGCTGTAAATAAATAGAACGTTGTTTCGAGCAATTAAGGGGAAGAATTGTACTTTACTTGCTCGAAACTTCCTAATAATAGATGTAATGTGTGGGGTCCCTTTCAGAAAATTACTGAAAATCACCCCGAGATAAGGGACCTGCTTGGCCAAGGGAATAGATGTACCATAATATTTTAGATTTTCCTTGAATATTTTCTTCTTCGTGAACAGGATGGCTTAGATCTTGTTCACATTTACTAATATCTTCCCTTTTTTTCAGCCAAGTCTCAAGTGCTTAGATGTATTTTTGTAAGCATTGGATAACCTGCCATAAAAGGATTTAAAAGTATCATTTCTTATTTTTTATTAACTGTTCAACAACTCTCCACTAAGTTTAAGATATGCCGTACGAAGTGGTCTTTATCATAATTTTATTTTTCTGATATGTATGTATGAGGAATTTAGGTAGATGATACGGTCAGGTTTTTTTTTTTTTTTTTTTTTTGTTATCTATCTCTTTAGTTGATCATTTATGAAGGAACTTCTAATGTTTATACAGTACAAAGTACGAGATCCGGTCGTCCAATATCCGGACCTCAAAACCACCAACAACCAATTTTTTTAAGGATTTTTTTGAAAGGGGGTTTGCTTTACGCATGCACATTTGATCTTTCTCCTCCTTGTAATAAAACATGCGGAGAATAATTCTTAATCTCACTTTTGCACTAAAAAAAATGCCTCATTATTGTAGAAATAAGCATATTGATGAAATAATTTTAACATAAATTTGCGTGATCAATAATTTGACTCCGTAACTGCGTATCTGCTTGGCATACATCTCAGATTGAAAAATTCTACATAGAAACATTGTTGATTTTATACGAATTAATATTTTATATACTTGACGCCAACCTGACGAATCATTATTTATTAAATTTTGCTTTCATCACCGCATGTTTATCAACAGATGACAAATTGAGTGATGACTCATGCAGCGATACCTAAACAGTTTTTTTTGTTAGTAATTGAATAACAAAGAGTATTATCAGATTACAGATTTAAGATAAATGTGCTAAGAAATGTTGACAAGAAAATATTTAACAAAAATTTCTTTCCATATCCTAAAAAATTTTTTTGTTAATGAAACTCATAGCCCAAAAGATTACATTTAGTGCTATTTGAATTAAGAATAACTGATTTGTTATTCACATAAAGCCAGAAGTGGCGCCAGAGCTTCCAGGGCCGCATCAGGCGAAAGAATTTAGGGAAGAGGAACAGAAGTTCTTCATTGAGATGGGACAATGCCCTTATCATAAATCAATCAATCAATTAACGGCCTACGAAATCTGTAGTATGGCTCTAGATCCAGAAAATACCGCTACCGATAGTGAAAGAAAGGTTACTAAAAAAGAAAAAAAATCGATTGACAAATTTGTCGGAATTCTCGACGCAGCAGTACAGGACTTGAACTTAGTTACTGAACAAGAATTTATATCTGTTTATTAAATTAAAGAGAAAGTATTAGCACAACACAGCAAAGCAACTTAAACAGCTTACATTGAAAGAAATGTTTAATAAAGTAATAAAAAAAGTAAACATATAAATATTAAGCTCTTTTTTTTGTAAATTTTGATACCCTTTAGATCATACATGCTTTATTATTTCATAAATTATTATTTCATATTTTTAATTTTATAACTTCTACATGCTATCTTACTAGATCTAAACTGATGATCTAATATCCGGAAAAATCCCAAATCCGGGATCACCGAAGTCTCGAGCAGTCCGGATCTCGGACTTTATACTGTATAATTTATTTTCCAATTTTAATAGTATTTGATGTAGATGTCATATCGAAACAGTATAAATTCCCCTATGTTGGTATTTTGAATAAATTTAAGATTTCTTTCTATATTTGATTTGTACTTGGAGCAACTAACGAATAGTAGTTTTATTGATTGAAGTGATGCCCAGTTTGTTTCAGATGTGTCAAAGGTAGATGATTTTTAACAGCTTAGCTTATAGAACAGGTAAGGAAGCAAAATGCTGCGTATTATAAAAACTTCAAATTTTCTAGAAAATACTGCTGCTGGAACTCTGTGTGATCTAGTTTGCGATTTGAAAACTTATGATTTTAAAAAATGCGATAAATCTTTCACCATAGAGAGTTGATCTTTTGAAACATTATTGTCTTGAGGAAGCAAGAAAGCAAACATATTTATGTGAACTGTGTGGTAAACATATTGAAATCATATGCAGAAAAGAACATAATCTGATCCATACTGGAGATAGACCTTATGTGTGTCATATCTATACTATAATAAAGGTTGGTAAAAATATTTACGGGTGCCAAAAATCACCGCTACGAAAGCCAAAATAACAAGTCAAAGAATTGCGCGAACTCAGTATCCATGTACACATCGACCTATTTTCTCTTAAAAAGAATCAGAGACTTGAACAAACTAGGCACTGCGCGTTCCTTAACTTTGTTCATGTACACATCTATATTCACTTAAAAAGTCGAAAGAGCAGCCAACAAAAAATATATAACCTCAATAAACTACATTTTAAATCAAACAATGAAATAACATAAAAAAAAGAAATTCACCTTAGCATTTCACAAAGGAAATGCCCACTTCCTTATTTAGAAAATTCCGCCTCTTCAGTCAAACAAAATTCCTTAACAGCATCCAAAAATTTGCTAAAATTATCTGAACTAGAATCTGTATACTGGCATCGCCACATAAATTCACAAAAATAAGAGTCAAACATATCCTCCGTAGTGGCGGCATCCTCCGACGTTCGACCATACGCATTTCCTTCCTACAAAGAGGACACTTATAATGGCTACTAAGTAAACCTTCATTTACACACCAGTCAATGATTTTTTCCCCTTTCGTTCCAAATTGTACAGAAACTTCAAATTTATCTTACCATATTCAGCCGTTTTACAGTGTAAACTACAAAATAACAACATACCTAGCTGTGGTATAATATTTAATGTTATTGTCAGCACTAAAATTATATTGCATAGAATGACAACATTCTTAGTTTAAATATTGTTCTTACAATGTAGCATTTGATATTCTGTTTCATATGCAGTTTTAGTTGATTAAATCTTCATTTCAGCTTCTTAAGGAAAGTGGTTTATTATGTTTACTACAATTTAATCAACTAAAATTCATTTATACTTCACGTTTTGCAAAATGGAAACCCCTTTGAAACCAGAAAGATTTGATGTTGACCCTGCATGTGTTGGAGCAGAATCTAAATGGAAACACTGGAAAAGAACTTTTTCAAATTTTCTCACACAAGTGAAGGAGGCAACTGAAGAAAGAAAACTACAACTGTTATGTAATTTCATATCTGCAAATGTTTATCAATGCATTAATGTTTCACAATCGTATGATAATGCAATTAATGTTCTAGATTCATTTATATTACTGAAAGAAGTGAAATATTTGCTCGGCATTGTTTAGCATCTAGATTTCAACAGACGGGTGAATCTGTAAATGAATATTTACAAATATTAAAACAGTTGAGCAAGGATTGTGAATTTGAGTCTGTTACTGCAGAAGAATATAAAAATGAGTATATTAATGATGCATTCATCCAAGGTTTGAAGAATCTACGCATTTGAGAACAGTTATTAGAAAATGCCAGTATTTCATTAGAAAAAGTTTATGATCAAGCACCGGTAACTGCTGTTGAACAGTGTGAGAACACAAATGATGATAGTGAACAATTGTCAGTAGTTGCTCCTATTCAATCCAGAAAATGTTTCTTTTGTGGAAGAGACCTTCATTTACGAAGTTTTTGTCCAGCTAGGGATGCAATATGTCGAGGATGTGGTAAAAAGGGCCATTACCAAAAGGTATGCAAATCCAAACTTGTAAGCAGTACTACTAATTCCACAGCGGCAGTTTATACACTAGCATCAGCTTCAATGCTTCACTGTCTTGAAAGGTCAATAACTAAAATCCTAGTAAATGGAGTTCAGCTGAATGCCCTAATTGATACCGGTAGTTCACTAAGTTTTATAAATCAGTGTTTTGTAAACAGATGCCGAATTCAAGTAAAACCATATTTTGGTAGGATAACCATGGCTAACCCTTCTATAAGCTCAGATGTTACGGGCTGTTCTTTAGTTAATATCAAATTGCAAACCCATGTGTACATTAATGTAGAGGTATTAATTATGAAAAACCTCTGTGCAGACTTTCTTATCGGGCATGATTTATTAAAAGATCATTCTTCTGTTGAGTTAGAATTTAAAGGTGACAGACCACCTCTCAAGAATTTATTCATTAGCAACTGCTCTTGTAGCCCCTGTGTCATTGTTCTCTAATTTAACGCCTGATTGTAGACCTATTGTTACAAAGACAAGACGCCAAACTGAAAAAGGTAAATCATTCATAGCTACAGAAGTATGCAAATTACTTAGAGAAGGTGTAATTGAATACCGCTAATGGATTTACTAAAGATGTAGAATCTCTACAGGAAGTACTGGCAATGTTTGCTCATTACTGCCGTTTTCTCAATTTTTCTGAAAAGATTCGCCCTTTTTTGACTAAAGGACTTCTTCCTCTTAGTAAAGATACCGAGAAAGACTTCAGTTATATTAGGAGAGATATAGCCAAAGCTTCTTTAGCTGCAATTGAGGATAATATACCATTCAGAGTTGAAACTGACGCTTCTGAATTTGCAATAGGAGCAACCCTGAGTCAAGCTGGTCGTCCTATAGCTTTCTTGTCTAGAACACTAAACGCTTCAGAACTAAAACACTGTCCTATTGAGAAAGAAGAATACGAATCTTTACGAAATCTTACGAATAATCTTTACGAAACTGGAGATACTATTTAATTGGAAGGCACTTCGAAGTTTTTACCGATCAAAGATCCGTGGCATTTATGTTTGATCAATAGTACTCCAGTAAAATTAAAACTGAGAAAAATTATGGGTTGGCGGTTAGAACTTGCTTGTTCAAATTTGATATTATATATCGCCCTGGAAATAAAAATGAAACTGCAGACATTTTATCAAGAATAAATGCAGTTACACTACATGATGAACTTTGTCATACTGAAATAATTCGACTGTATTACTGGATAAGATTTAAAAATTTGCCTTTTTCACTAGAAGAAATTAGAAGAACTGTTAATTCATGTGTATGCTTCAGTGAAGTAAACCCTCTCTTCTATAGATCTGAAGGACACTTAATTAAAGCAACTTCACCTTTTGAAAGACAATCTAGACTTCAAAGGTCCTTTCCCCACGGCTTCCAGGAACCGTTTCCTTCTTACTATTGTGGACGAGTTTTAAAGATTCCCTTTTGCAATACTTAGCCCTGATTTGTCATCTTCTACTGTTATTGCTCACCTGCAAAATATTTTCTCAATTTTTGGGATGCCAGCCTACATATATTCTGATAGAGGATCTTCATTTATGTCTCGAGAATTAAAACGCTTCTTAACTTCACTTGGTATAGAAACAAGTCGCACTACTGCATGTAATTCTCAAGGAAATGGCCAAGTAGAGAGTTGTAATGGAATCATATGGAAAACCATCCAGTTGGCGCTAAAATCAAGGAACATGGCTATCGAACGTTGGGAGGGTTTTTACACCCTGTTTTGCATTCGAACTGGTCACTCTTATGTTAAGCAACGAATGCCACACCACATGAAAGTATGTTCATCCATGCTAGAAGATCATATAATGGACGTTCTTTACCTACGCGGTTAACACAACCTGGAACGATATTAATGAAGAACCATACACGAGCTAATAAATATGAGCCTAATAATTAAGTATGAGCTAATAATTTTTAATAGGCTAATAAATATGAGCCTATTGTGCAAGAAGTGGAGCTCATTGAGGCTAACCCAGATTTTACGCTTGCGTTAAAGTTCCAGGTGGTTGTGAAACCAATGTTTCAATACGATATTAGCACCCAGAGGAGATACTCCTATACATGCCCATGATATCGGTTTGGATGAAAACCAACAACTTTCAGATTCTTTTGCTCAACAGAATGAAGATTTGACCACTGAAGCTCCCCAATCAGTATTGAAAACTGTACAAAAATCGATAGAAGACGATCCCCAGCGCAGTGATTTACTGTGATCTAGCAGACATGAGAATTTTGAAAAGACTTCAAATGATAGCTTGCATGAGAGTGAATCCTTGCGTCCGAAAAGGCAGAGACGTCAGCCTTCTTATCTAGCAGACCATGTGACATATTAATAATCTTAAGGAGGGGTGAATGTGGTATAATTGGCAGCACCAAAATTATATTGCATAGAATGGCAACAGTCAGAATTGCATAGAATGGCAACAGCTTCTTAAGGAAGGTGGTTTATTATGTTTACAACACTAAGTAATATCCAACACACAAACCAACACCCTTTACAAATCTTTTCCCATCATTCAAATTCACCGCCATCACGTAACCAGTTACGTCATAATAGGGTTTCCATAGAATTCAGCTACTCAGGTTACCATAAGTGAAACAACAACTTGGCGATAAATGAAACAACAACTTAGAGATAATCCAAGGGGCACCCTTAAATCTACTGTAACCTAAAGGTTTCAGTACAAAATATTTTCTTAACCTAGCTATATTCATAACAAAGAAAAGCCATGTATGTGTGATGGGTGTAATAAAGGTTTTATAAGAAAGCGTTCACTTCATTTACATTTACATTGCCGTACTCATACAACAGACACACCTTGTGAGATATGTAATAAAAGTTTCACATTGAAACACAATTTACAGAGACATGCTGCTATTCATGTTAGTGAAAAGTCTTATGCTTGTGATGTGCGTAATAAAGGTTTTAGGACATTAAGTTTATTGAAGAGACCTTGCTTTATTCATAACAAAGAGAAAGCTTATGTGAGCAAAGTAATAAATGTTTCATCATGAAGTATTATATTCACACTCATAGTTGTAGCAATAGCGGAAAGCCTTTTATATGTGAATTTTGTAATAAAAGTGATCTCCGAACGAAAAGAACGAAAAGTGATCTCCTTGCGCACAGTCATACTCATCTAGAGAAATATCGTACGTATGTCAGATATATAATAAAGGTTTCATAACAAAAGGCTATTTAAATATACATTATAGGTATCATGCTGAAGAGGAAGACTTATCTATGAGAAATACGCAATAAATTATTTAAATCGAGTGTTTGTCTTAAATTGCATCTTGTATATCACTCTGTTCAAAAGTTGTATACATGTGATGTGTGTAAAAAAGGTTTCAAGAGAAAACAGGATCTCATTCAGCACAGCATTATTCATACAGGTGAAAAGCTTTTTCTATGTGACATTTGTAATAAAGGTTTTGCATCAAGAAGTTATTGTAAATTGCATCGTATTCTTCATACTGGAGAAAAACCTTACGTGTGCAATGTTTGTTATAAAAGTTTCATATGCAAAAGTTATCTTAATACACATATTTCCAACTTGTATGCTGCCATCTAAAAATCTCATGTGGTTTGTGTAACGAAACCTTTCAATCATTTCCTAATCGTAAATCACAGAATTGTATTCATACAAAAGAAAACAGTGAGAGTAAAATATAAAGGCTGCAAAACGTAAAGTGATACCGAAGTGCTAATATTAATAAAAACAAAATATATTGGTAGTTCTGCTTATATTCCCAAAATATTTGTTTGTTTTTTCTTTGTAATGATGGATATGCAGTATATGACCAACTCTAAAGAATGAAGTAAATCCATCTGCATTTTTCAGAGATAACAGCTATTACGAAATGCAATTTCATTTTACATATGTCATAGCTATATTACTTTTGTAAAATAGAAAAAATTAAAATTTCTTCAAAAAAAAAAAAAAAAAAAAAAATTCAGACTAACCTCCTACTTTATAAAAATGAAGTTCATAGAAACAGTTTACAGTACATGCTTTTTATACTAGACTGAGTTCTGCAATAGGTATTTTCTGTATAATATTTAAATTCAACAACACTAGAATACTTGGGTTATCAGCATATAATTTATGGGGTATAATAAGTAAAATATTTTCAAATGGACTGAGATCTACACTGCATGCAGGCCAGTGCCTTTATATATGTGAAAATTGAACATCTAGGTACCCATCTAGGTGTTAAATGAATGAGAAGTTAAACACCCAAATTTAACTGAGCCTAAAGAGTATTAGGTAATCGTGTAGTATGTGAGTTACAGCTTTTAATTAGTTATTAGATGGAACCACTAAAACACTATTTTTAAATTTGAATGTATAGTTAAGTAGTGGGAAAAAGAAATGATTAAAATAACCAACTTGAATGCTGCCATCTAAAAATTACTAACGAAACGGAATGCACTTACATGATTAGTGATTATTGTTTGAAATTTGTATTTTTTTTTTTTTTTTTTCATCTTCGGTAACATGTCTTACCATCACAGATTTACTCAACTTCCATTTGTTTTGTTATTTTATTCAATTATTACAAAATACAACTGATTTTTTTATTTGTCATTGATTTTACAAAACATGTTAATATTGTTTTTTATATCTTTTAATTTAAGTAATTTATTTATTATTGCCTGGTTAAATTTTAGAAATTAAGCCCAGGTAAAAATATCTTCGAAAACATATGCATATTGTCTTGAGATTTGACCATTGTTAGCAAAGGTTGCAGAGATTTAATAACTGAAGTTAAATTCAGCCCAAACCATGACGCTTTTACTACATTTACTACCCAACACTTCAATCAAAAAAGGATGAAGATTCTTCTCTAAGAATATGTCATGCTAGTAACAAATTAAGTCTTCAGAAATGTAATCTACTTTCCACTTTTTTTAACACTACTTTATCTGTAAGAGAAACTACTATAAATTCTCTTTATTTTTTACTTCCTTGTACGAAGTAAAAAGGAAGTATTGTAATCGCGAAAAGCTTCAGGCAGCATATTTAAACGAAAATATCCACTTTGACCGCTTTCGAATGCAATTTAATGATGTTTTTGCGTGATATCTGTACGTAAGGACAGAATAAAAAGACTCTTTTCCTCCAAAAAAACTAAAAAACTGCTTTAAAATGAATTCTGAAGAGAATTTTTCGTGGCGTCTGTACGAACGTATGTACGTACTGCGTACATACGTATCTCGCATAACTCAAAAAACGAGTAGCCTCAGAACGTTGAAATTTTGTATATAGGACTGCATAAACATGTAGATGTGCACATCGTATTTGGTTTCAATCGCTGCGCCAAACGTATATAAATATATTATAAATATATCCACTGTTACCCGGCTCAGTAATCTCATTTCTTACTCTTATATGTTGTAGATTGTACATTTTTTTCTTTAAAAATGATTGAAT